TAGAATGTATATGGTTCAGTCTCTAGTCTCCATGACTAACTATTGGAAGAATTAGTTGCACTATCTATTCCATCATTCTAGTCACAAAATCTCCACCCCAACAAGCCACAAGGTCAATCCGAATATGATGTTTCTCCATACGACAAAGGTGAATATCGAATATGTTATGAATCGATCAGTGCAGTACTTGATTCATGTCAAGCGTGTCCATATCTGCAAAACCACAATTTTTTCCTTTACTCCTCTCTCTATACGGAGATCAATGATATCTTGCAACCTCCATACATTCTCAAAACTGCACGCAATCATTACTTACTTGCTATTCCATGAGAAGTAATCCACATTCAAGGAAAGATCAAGGTTGTTCTGATACCATTGTAACACTAGGATTTAGAGAGAAACTCACTCAAAGATGGAAACATAAATTCTGAAGATGAAAGATATCAACAATGATTCTCCTCCCCCTTATATAAGTCTTACCAACAAGTATAAAGAGATAAGATCTTATCCACACCATCAATCCTAATTCTAGTGGATGGATGATGTGGCGGATAACCCTAACAAGCACACAGATGGTTGATGTGGCGCTCCCAAGACACTTATTCTCTACCTACCAAGCACGCGGATCATTGACGTGGCAGCTATGACTAGTGCGTGATAAAGTAACTATATGAAATTTTTGAGTAAACTCTACTTTTTGTTGTAACAAAATAAAGATGGTTACAATATTTTTCAAAATCAAGCGACAAGTACTCTAACTTTGTCACAAAATAAGTACATCAAAAAGGTGTTGAATAGATTTTTAGTGCAAGATGCTAAACCAAGAATCACACCGCTCGAAGTACAAATCGAATGATAAAAAACTCAAGCACAAAAAAAAGTAAGAGAAGAACTACATGGCAACTGTATCCTATTTCTAGGTAGTCGGAAGTCTCATGTATGTCATGGTATGTATTAGACCCGAAATAGCTCATGTCATGGAAGTTGTAAATCGTTACATTGCGAAACTTGGTAGTGCACATTGGGAGTTGGTAAAATGGTTGCTAAGATACTTGAAAGACACTTCTAGTATGTCACTATGTTTCAAAATAGGTAGTATGAATTTAGAAGATTTTGTTGATGTGGATATTAATGGTGATTTGGATAGTCGGAATAGCTCTTTTGGTTATGTTTTCATGTGGGGGTATTACTATAAGTTGGATGTTGAGATTGCAAAAATGTGTGGCACTTTCTAGATTAAAAGCAAAGTATGTTGCAATTTCAGAGCCTGGAAAAAATATGTTGTGGCTACTTAATTTTCTAAGGGAAATGGAAAATTATCATGATGATAGAGCTCTTTACACCGATAATCAAAGTGCTCTGTGTTTCGCAAAAAATCCGGTGTTTCGTTCAAGGAACAAGCATATATAAATGAAGTTTGATCTTATACGTGAATCGATAGATGATGAAATCTTATTATTGAGAAAGATTGCAAATGAGATAAATCATGCACACATGCTCACAAAGGTTAATACCACGGATAAACAGAGGCTATGCATTAACTTTGTTGGAATAACATGCTAGTTTGTCTTCAAATGGAAGATTGTTAGTAATGAAGACAAAAGAGTTGTATTCGACGTGAATAATTTAACGTCAAACATAAATTAGTAGTTTTTTTACGTGACAATTTTTTGTTTTCAAGAACAAAGAGGTTTTTTTTTTGCATGGACTTAAAAACTTGTGCCATAAACAAATCTTTTCTTTTTGGCTGCATGTCAATTGCGGCAAGCACCTCTCAAGAGATGCTTGAAATTGTTTATTTTTTGCATATAAAGGTATCTACCTCCTTTGTGTTGTGTGTGGGAATTTTATTGTGCAAATCATCTATGCATCACTTTATTGTTGTAACTTCTGTACATCGTTTTGAATGTACATGCAGTCTATATCTATTGTACAAATACTAACAGTAAGATTTTTGTTTTGCTTTTATTTATCCTCTGTGATAGTGACGAAATGATAGGAAAGTAAGAACTTATGTGAAGATTCTGTGTTATTACACAATCCTCGTAAAATTTTGTGTTATATTTTTAGTTGCCAACTTTACGAAAATTACTCTATACATTTTGACACTACAGTGCAGGTCCGTAGTTGCAAAGCATTTGAGCTGAAAGGTAAAGGAGAAAATTAGGGTAAGAAATTTTGACGAGTTCAGTAGTGAATTGCTTCAAAGCAAGAAACATGTGTGTTTAAGATACTCAGCCCGTGACTACGATTTGGGCAAATCGGGAAGGCAACTGCGCAGGAAAATGGATGTTGATTAAAGTAAAGTAATGTGAGAGGCAGTTGGAAAATCTACAAGAGTTTGATAATTTTGATGCGCTTGAATTTGCTCGTCAATAACCGGTATGTTACATGGAATTCTACTAGATTAAAGCTATACAACACTCTCAAAACTATTATTGCGAAAAAAAAATAAAAAATGAAATGAACATATTTATGCCAAAATCTTATGTTAAAAATGTTGAAATTATTGTCTTTTGTTCATATGTATGGGGTGGAGTTGCTCTCATTCATTTCACCTTCTCTTGTCACTACATTCTCATTCTATTCTCTTAAGTGGCCAAGTGTAATGCAGAAAAGACAGAAGATTACATCAATCAACCATGGAAGAGATTATGTGGAACCAAGTTTCATGGCAATGATATCATTCGACTTAATTACTAAATACATTGTACAACAATTAAAGTATCTACAAAATGTTAGCAATTATCTTGTTAATTTTTCTTAAACTTGCGTTCCAACATTATAGTATATGTTTCTTGTGTAAAGTGTTCTCTAAACACTCTATTCTTATGGGTTATATGAATAAAATTGTAAATTCTCTACCTCGCCATCTGTTACACAATAAACTAAAGAAATTGATTCAGCAACAATATCATCTGCTCTGACATTATTTATTATGAATGCTTCATTTTATGAATAATATTTTCTGAACACTTTATACTTAAAGATTTTTTCAAGAATAATGAAGATACTAAATTTTACATATGTTATACAATAAACTATAGAAATTGGTTCTGCTCCTAATCTCAAAGTAATTTTCTTCTAGCTTTGGTCTAATTTTATTTCTGAGATTAAAATCTTGTTCCGTGATGATGTGATCATGCACAAGGAACTTGAATCAATACTCTCAAAGCCATACTGGAATTGACACCAAGTAACAGCTGTAACATTCCACAAATTTAAGAGCTATTATAATTCAAGTGGTCAACACATGTATTCATATAGTTGAAAGATAGAAACCAATGCTTGACGGACGGTGATATAAGTTACATTCGTTCGTGGGCAGCGTATGGGAACTTAGTGTGCATCACAAACAATCATGACTTTGAACTTTGCAAACTTGGCAAGTTCCTTTTGTGGGTTTTCTTAGCTCCATGTCTCCCATCTTAAAACTCTTCAAAAGTAGCGGTTTTTTTAATGGGTCATAAGTCCTGCTTATGCTGTCGTAACTTCGGCTTGATTGACTTATCTTTCTATAGTATCACAGAATTTAGCTTCAGTATACCAACTAATAGTGCTAAAATAGTGTTCCAAGTTTCAAACAATTTCAAATATTCAAACATTCAAACATTCAGTTCGGTGGGCTTCAGCCTGAGTTGATTTTGCTCTGCGGTCAATGGAGTACTGTTTGCCTTTCTGGTCTATATAGGTGACTCCCATGATTCCTGTCATGACATGGAGTTTCACTTTTGCTTTTCTGGATGTATTATTGCGTTAAAGTACCTGATCTGTACTTACGGTTGCCTTTTCTGAAAGCACATTTGTGATCTTTTGGCTGAGATTTGGAACTTACATGAATCATTATTCCACTCTATTAGTCTTTCCATGGCGTGACTTTCCCAACTTTGTGGCTTTTGAAAAATTACTTTTCTGGCATCTCAGCTTCGATTTGTATCCTTCCGTTATGCAATTGCTAATCGCAAAGCTACAAATTACTGTGACGATGTAGTTTGTTCCTGGGCTGCTATGCTTTCTGCCAGGAGCGAAATCTTTTCTTCATCAATTTTGCCTATCTCCACATCTCCCCAAACAAGAATGCACATTGACCTGTCTTTGGACCCGGTGACTGGGAAGCCAATTTCCTTAGACCAGATGCATCGTAGAGAAAATGATGAAAAATATTGTTCGGTATTCTGAGTTTCACTTTCGATACATGTTGTTCAGGTTTTGCGTGTTCGGCACATGTTCAGTAGCCTACTTCTTACGTTGATTGTGTAGATTTCATAGTCAACTCGTGGAGAGGAGGTTGAAGAAGTTTGTCTGGCATACATATTTTTATCCGTTAGGCATGTGAGTATTTGATAGGAGTTGGATAACATGTCGCTTATCGTTTACTGTAAAATACATGGGCTCGATGTGACGCTATTCGATCTTCTACAACAGATTTCTTTCCCGTCTGCTACAGGTCCAATGCCACGCACTAGGCCTGGATACACGATACCCGACGGCAGAGGTAAATCGCTGTCCGACGAAACTATTTCATCGATCGGACCGACATCTCGTTGATTTGTACAGTGATGGCGAACCGGTCGAAGGAACGATGTTACCGACTACACCAATGAAAATTATGATACAAACACTGTTGGCTACACGGGGCGTCATTACCGAAGACCCCATCTCAAGCGGTTGTTGACTGTTGATAATAGATGGGGCAAGTCCCTAGCTAGCCTACATAATCCACACTGGATTAGAAGAGTACCCTACGTCAGTTTCATGAAGGAAGCGACAGTACTCGACCGTACGCAAGTGAGCGTTACAGAGAGAAAAGTGTCCTTTTCGTGGAAGATTTTTCAAGTGAAAGGACAGTTAATGATGGTGCGGCATCCACTTTCTTGTACCCAACACAAGGATATGGGTCAGACTGTGAGAGGAAGTGTCATCGAGCACAAAACGTGGAGCATCACATGCATAGAGACTGATAGGAGTGTACACACGAAGTTCACCTGCTGCACAGAGATGGAATACAAGAGACTTCCACAACAACCACCGAGATTTGATTCATTCAAAGCTGCAAAACTGAAGTCAAGCCTACAGTGATTTAAGTGGTTCAGACATGAGCCAACATCTAAATCTAATGTGTTTTTAAGTACAGTGTTCTAAGTCAATGAAGCAAAGAGAGATTTTGCGTAGACTGCCCCTTATGAGTCCTATGCCTACAAAGTCCTCTGGCCTGAGAGATAAATGTCACAACACTGACTCTGAAAAGTCTTCTGTCTGAAAAGTCCTCTTGATTTCAAACTATAGTGCCGATAACGTTTTAAGCGATTCACCACAGCTGAGTGTTTTTGTTTGTGTCTTGGTCCTCTATACTCACAAACTTCAATTGAGCCTAATGTTAACATTGCTGTATCAAATCGGGATGGTGCTCTGGTTAGAGTCGGGACAGTCTTCTCATCCACTCCACTAGCTTGCTCCGATCCCGGTCAGCCACAACACACTCTGCAGAGATAGATAGACAGACAAACAGACAACCGGATATGCACGTTAAGAATCGTCCGACCAACAGCACCACAACCAGCAGTTTAAAGACTCATGGATTTCATCTAGCAGCGCTAAATGTTGCGCTACACAGGACCTCGAATACAGCGCACTGGAGGGCCACGAGAGGAATGGGCCTAGAGGACGTGGGTCAGGTCATCTTCACAGCGTAGCTCGAAGATGTTCAGTTGAAACTATTGGCAGATCTAACCCAGCAGCCGAAAGAAAAGCCTGCCCGAACCCGGGATTTACGGTTCATACCTGGGCCATGGATCACGACCAGATACTCCTCACACCATGGAATATGAAAATCCAGTCCTGCTTCAAGACGAAAGAAGAATGGCGAAAAGTGAGCAGGCGACGCCTACAGGAATGCATTGCACTCTCAAGTCCGATCCAGGTACATGCATACATGCAACATTCAGCAGCATTGTTCCTTGCCAATGAGTCAATCAACCAACCAATCAGCCAATCGTGTGTCCAATCTAGACAGAAATGTGGATGCGATGGGATACTAGAGAAAAGGGGGAATTGCTACCTCACGTACTGCTAGACAACGCGCCCTGATATGCCAAAGCCTCGCCTCCATGAAAGAAAAGAAGATGGTTGTGTAGAACAAAAAAAGGTTGATAACGACCAATGCACAGCTCTCAATATGAAGACCAGTAGTGGATCGAAGAGGTTAGATAGAGGAGCATACCAGAGACAAAAATTCACATGCGTTTCAAGTTGCATCTTACAAAATATTATGGTGGGAATCATAGATAGATGTTCCAAAGCTCCCCGGTCCCGGTCTCAATGCTTGCAGCTCCGGGAACTTGAGATCAGTTCCACCTGCGCGAGTACCATCCCCACCATCACTTCCATGTTGTTGCAAGAACTCCACAGCACGTGCCTGCTGGCCACTCCCAGAAGTCCCTTCTCGAATTGCAGCTGGGTTCTCAGAGAGAAGAGCCAGCATCTGATGTCCTTCTAACTGCCCTCCTGACATGTTTAAAGTGGAGGATCCGAATGGGGCAGAGCTGTCTCGGTTTTGCCCCGCTAAATTGCCTAACATCCAATCCGACCCACTCATATCTCGCGAGTGCATACTCGGGAGCAGGTCTTGGATCGATGTGGAGTATACCTGTGCTGAAGATGTGGCACCAGCAGACGTGACTTGATGAGTTGCTCCCTGACCATTTTTATCAGACATAAGGTGCTGAAGGTTCATCGTTGGTCTGTTGACCGTCTGCTGTGTCAAGTCAGACCGTGATCCATTGGGCCTTAACAACCATGGAACAGGAGGAACAGGGTCAATCCCGTTGTAATTTTGACTAGATGTACTTCTCTGGACCTGATTTCCAAGGCCTAATCCTCCGCCTAACGAGGAAAGAGACAAGTTGGGGCCACTTTGCCCGACTCCCTGTAAAAACTGCTGATAAACAGCAGCCTCCTGTGAATTGCCAGGGAGGATGGACAACTGACGCTTGGCACTTTGAAGAATGACAGGCGGGGCAATGGACATGGCTGACAGTAAGGCTTGAGCATCAGATCCCGACATAGGGCTAGGTTGTGAATTAAGCATCACTGCATGGGGAGGCCGCTCTTCATTTCGGCCAAAACCCGTTGAAGTTCGGAGTTGCAAATTATTCCCCGCAGAACCTGTTTTATCATCAGAGTCTTCCATAGATGTCGAGCTTGGAGACCCTGACTTTTTGAGGTGCATTAACATTGACTTCGCATCTGTTGACGCTGTTGTGGTACAAGACATAAGAGACCCAGCAAAAGCGTGTGCACATGTTAGTTATTGATGTGCTGTATGCATATAAAGCGCACAACAAGATAGAACCTAAACTTCTCTCAATCCAGTTCAGAACCTGCATTGCATTACTTCCTGCCGCTGAATGTATGTATTCGAGACAAAATCTCCAATACAATTTATTTTCACGGTTCCAGCGGAAGGACTTGCTTTCAACTCTCTACAGCGACCTTCTTTGACTCCCACTGTCTGTCCTATTCGGACCCGCCTCGTGCCCGGTGCTTCAGAACCGAACCAGGCGGGCCAGTTCGACCGCCAGTGGTGGCGTAAAATAAGGCGTTTGTTTGTTTGTTTTCTTGTCTGTCTGTCAGGCAATGGGCTCAAACACATATCGCCACAGCTAACCCGCGGCTCTTGGTGTGAACAGGAGAGTGGACGGAACGCAGAGAGTTATTGGTGGTCGGATTCCGGGTTTAGACTTAAGGGTGCTGATGAACTACTGAGCAAGCAGTGGTCCCTGAGCAGCTGCACACACACAGACACACACCCACGCCAACACATGGACACCCACACCTGCTACGAGAAGGGAAAGTAAGTAGAAGCTTCTGCTACGTGGTGTGATCTAAACAAGATCTTTTGTTAATTCATGTCTTCCCCCGATTACTTCGATACCGCTCGGGCCTCACGGAGCTCGGATCCCTCGCACTGACTACCACTAGGCTACCTTCTTCGAGTGCTATGCCATTGCTTACAATCTAAACACGTCTATCTCGTAGCGCCATGACCGAGTGGCATAGAATCTCGGCCGGCAAGATAAGTCGAGACCCACTTTCTCGACTGGACAGACAAAACTAGAAGTTCAAAGAACGGTCGAGCTCGAACGAAAATAGATAATGAAGTTAGAAGTGACAGGAGCATTTCGAGGCCGGTGAATGCTCCCGCACGCTGAGGGTGAACACTAGCTGCTTCCAAATCACAGGTCCTACACTAACATGATTGCGATGAGATTATCACCTGAAGTCCGATTGTCTTGGTCCTCGCTCTTCAAGGCTACAGACTCGGCAGTGGTTCCACCGGTGGAAGCTGTGGGCTGTGGCTTGCGTCTGCGCCTGTTGTGGTCTGCAAGTCGTTTTCTGCAGCTTCGTTTACCCTCATCGAATTCGGAGAGCGAATGGAATCTGATACGCACAGCGTTTGACGACGAGATTGGACCGAGTTAGTCGACCATCGGTGTGAGTGTGGACGGAAAACCAGAAGCTCATGGGGTGCATGGTTCCCTCCTTCGAGGAACACTACAGCCACTGGTGACACAGAATCTCATAAATCTTGACGTTTACATGGTAAATTCTACAGGCGCTAGAGCGGAAACAGGTAGGATTGACTACTCGGAGACTTCTTTCGCTTGGAATGAAGGGGCGAGGTAACGAACCTGCTGCACTGCTGGCAAAATCTCTGCGTTTGGCCTCCTGCGATGACGTTGGGAGCTTTAGAATGTTGTTCACAAACTTTGTGTCTTCGATGATAATGTTTGGCCGTGCTGAGGTCCGCTTTACAGCCCTCTGCTTGGCACATCGGGACTTGGGAACCTGGAGAATTCGATCGATGCCGCTTGCCAAGTCGGCCTGCTGCAGTATCCTCGGTTGAGAAATACGTGCGAACTCCAAGATTAAGGCCGATACGGGCCCCATGTCCGTCTGCAGCACATACCTCCTCGCGTTTAACGTGGATTTCATTCGAGTGACCCTTCTGGTCCAGATCCATCGCTCCAAAGTACCTCCGCCTTTGATCCATAGAGGGCCTCATATCTCCGTGGCCCCCACTTGTAGGGGCCAGGCCAGGAATTCCAGGGATGCTCGCCGAGCTCATTGCTCCATGCATTCCAGAAGAAGTCGAAATGCTCGTCGAGTCCATACCTGCAAAGCTCCGAATTCCCGATGAGCTGAAAATTCCCATTGGGTTCTGTGAAAAGTTGGATGGAAATCCACTTGATAGAATGCCGCTAGTGTAGGCGCGAAGGCTGGAGGCCATAGATCCAGTGATAGGAGACTTCCTGTCAGCATCACCATCACTTGCACCACCACCGGGGTGCTGAGCGAGGATCATTGGATTATCCCAGTCCCAGTCAAGACGATTTCCGGTGTACGGTCTACTGTTTTCCAGGCCTGCCACTCCTGGTTGATCCCAATTTTCTGTCGGCCAACTTGGTTCCCCTTGCTGCTCCGAGTTATTATCAGAAGGGTTCATCCCATAAGTCAGCAGCGGACGGCAGGGAAAGAAAGAAGTATAGTGGAGGGCAGGCAGAGCAATCGAGCTGAGAATGATGTGGGTCTTTGTCAGCAATTGGTCACGGAAGCTTGGGCCCAATCCGACAACTCCAATCGCGTGGCCACTCAGTAGTAGCAGTGAGAAGGATCTCTCAATCCGTGGTACTGGTGGGGGTCTCGACGACAACGATCATTTCATACTGAAGGTGATGGCTCCGTGCAGTACGAAGTGGTGGAAGGAAGCCCGCGAGATTGCTGCAGGCTCTCGTCTGCATTCAGAAGCAAAATGTGCACCTCGAGAGCACTTTCGCTTCGGTTGGCTTGGACAGTTAAATGACGTAATCGCCACCTGCTGTCGGCCATCAAAGATCAATTCCCGATGGTGTGAGACCTCTGGCTGAGCTCCACTTCCGAGCGCATACAGTACTCTCCTAAGGAGCTTTGCTCATCCATTGGCTATTGATAAATTGCATTTGTATTTGTATAGGCCACCTCAGAAGACGACGAGGAAGGGAAAGAAGAACGCGAAGGTGGAGAAGAAACAATTGTCCAATAACCAGGAAGGGCTTACTGATCTCGCTTAGCACACGACCTCCGTTGGGAAACTGTGTAGCGGCGACGAGAGTAGCGTGACGAGGTGGCATGTCCCGTGTTTCTGCTCTCATGCGACCATCAACAACCGCCTTCCATCCAACATTCTTCTTCTCTTCCTCTCCTCCTTCGCCCGCCCGCCCGCCAGCCGCAACCCCGCCTTCTTCCTTCCTCCTTCCTCCTTCCTTCCGACAGGTTGCGTTTAGTCGGAGCTGCGGAGCCGGATCGACTCGTCCCGTCTCGGGCGTCAGATGCTTCTTCGCCTCTTCGGCAACATACACTGGATCATCACAGCACGAGTGCACTTAGCCATCTGCTCTATGCTCTATGACTCGACCACCAAAACAAACCAACAACTCACACCTACAGGCATGGCACAATCCTGCCCCCGGCCCCCAACACTCCCCCCTTGCCCCTTCGCTGACAACGAGACCGAGACCGCGACCGTCTACACTGCAATGGAGTGGTTCGAGCACAGCGCTACGATGGGTGCTAAGCTGAGTCAACCACTGGGTTCCTCGAGGATGGGAGCGCTGCAGTGGCGGGGAATCTGCTCTACAGAGGCAGACGGACTCCGATGTAGGATTAGATCAGTCGATCGTCCGATGGTCGATGACCGCGTGAGATTGGCGGGCGAGCACGAACGTGGGGACAGCCCTGCTCGCAGTGAAAGTGCACCAAATTGAAGCTCGTGCGCAGCAGACGTGCAACCGACGATTTGGCGACCGAGGGTTTGGCTCCGCGCAGAAGCGCGCACCGCAACGGCGATTCACGAGGGAGAGAAAGGCTCCAGCTCGATGGGGGAGGCGACTATCTTCGCACTACAGCTGCGCATGATCATCGTCCGCAGACGAGAGCTGCCTTGGCTGACCGCACAATGGCGTGCGGCAGGTCTGTGGGAGGGAGGGTCGGGAGGACGGGGGATGAGGACGCAGGTCCGAGGATGGAAGGCCATGTCTGGACTCAAGCGGTTCGCATCGACAAAACTCGACAAGCCCTCTGGAACTCAGCTGATATACAATCGCAACTGGTGCTGGTCTCATTGTCGAGACGATGACGTCGAGCAAACTTATTTCACGTGTTGGACACGGTGCACAACTGACCAAGTGGTGGAATTAGACGAGAACTGACAATTATCCTAGACCCCAGTGAAGTCTAGCAATGGAACATACCGACGTCGTGCAGGACAAGATGTTGGAATGATATCAGTGAGTGGAATGAGGTTCTCTCTGAACGTCGAGGGCCATTACTACGATGGTGCTCCTAGATCATTGATATGAAAGGGATGTAGCTCATGTGATTGGCGAGTGTGAGGACAAAAACTTGTTGTCGGCCTTCATTGACCCCTGATCTTCAATGAGTAGAATCTGAAACCTCATGACCTAGAACATACTAGAGAAGCCTTCTGTTATTTTCCCCCATGCACCATCACCTCGCAAGCACATGCCCAAGTCACCCTTCCTCGGTGTTGTTGCTCAGCACCCTCATTTTTCCCCGAGTCGCTCCCAGGTCGCCCGATGGTTCCCTCCTACACCACTGACAGTAAAAAGTCTGCTCTAGCCCTCAGGTGGTCGCGGCGGACCAAAGTTCCATGAAGTGGAGAGAGAACTCTAGCTCGACCGATTAATGGGCTGGATGTTAACTGTCCTACCTGCTTCGCAAAGCCAAGATCCCGTGGAGGCGATTTTTTTCTACAATGCTATATCTAGTCCGCAGAGCGAAAGGACCCAAGTCAGGCTCCGCAGCTCACTCTCCTCGCTGCCAGAATGCGAACGTGACACACACAGGACCAGCAGCAAAACCTTTGGGTGAATAGATTCGTGAAACCTGCTGGGTATCCCGGATGCTCGTCGGCCACTGCTGCTCACTAATAAGCCTGTTGCCTTCACTCCTCAACTCCGATTGACCGAAACAGACTTCGATGTTCGCTCCATGTTTGTCGGCCGTCCACTGGGCCACCACCACGGGTCAACTCGGGGCGACTCAGGGGGGGGGGGCACTTATATGGCGACGCAATGATCCGCTACGCAGCTGCGTTCGCAGGCCGCGAGCGACAGCGCAGGCCGCCTCCCGACATCTTGGATGTTCGTGCCAATTGCCAGGAACTCAATTCCTAGATCTGGAATGCTTGCCGCATGCCATTGACCCGTGCCTCTGCGGCCGAGAATCGATACCGCTACAGTGAGTGATTGACGAAATTTCGCCCACCTAACAGTCCTAAACTCCGCCCCGAACTCTACTCGCAAGCGGTCCAAGGCTGAAGCTCTCGCTCTCGCTCTCGCTCTCGCCCTCGCCCTCGCTCGACCTTTTCTCTCGGCAGCGGCAGCAAGGCTCTGAGCACGCGGGCGGGCGAGTGCATGCAACACAACCGCAGGCAAGCTTACGCACGACAGTGGGACCGACACACAGGCACCATATATCACTCGCCCGGCACAGCGCAGAGCAGCGCAGCAAAGAAAGAAAGAGCGAGCGAGCGAGCGCCCGCCCCGTTCCTTCTCCTGACGCTGGGCGGACGGCCACAGAAACAACAACACTCGGAGTATCTTTTCTTCTCTCGCCCTCTCTCGCGCGCGCTCACTCCAATATAACTCGCTGCGTGAGCGGGCGGGCTCCGAAGCTCCTCTCCTCTCGAGAGACTTTAAGGACTAGAGAGTAAGTAAAGTGGTGGTCGTAGAGTGGTGCGGACGAGGAAGAAGCCTACACCTCTCGGACGCCCTCGGGGGCTCGCGGGCAAAAGAGCAATGAGAGTCGCCCCTCGAACACGACCTCTCTGAAAAGGGAGCAGCACCGAAACGGGAAACGAGGAGAGAGAGAGAGAGGAAAGGAAGGAAGAGCGAAAGAATGGAGAAGAGAGAGAGAGAGAGAGAGAGAGAGAGAGAGAAGGGAGGACGATCAGACAGACAGACCAGCAGCGAGGATGCAATCTCACTCACGGACCGAAGTGACTCTCTCTCCGTGGGCGGGGGGCTGATAGAAGAGGGGGCCCCAGACGAGGGCGATGGGTGATGAGGTGGTGGGAGACGAGGGCAGGCAGGCGAGGCTGGGCTGCCCGGGACGGGGGACGAGGAAGAGGGGAGAGAGAGAGAGAGAGAGAGAGAGGGGCACAGAGAGACCCAGAGTTGGGGCAAAGAGAAGGGGCAGTCAGTAGAAGTAGAGAGAGGCCGCAGAGAGAGAGAGAGAGAAAATGCGGTCGGACGGACGTGGACTGGGGACTCAAATGGGGCAAGCGAGGGCCTGCACACAAGCCCCGGAGGGGGCTGTGTGCTGGAGGGAGGGCTTGAGAACTTCGGACCCGGAGAGAGCGGGAACGGAGATTAAGGCAGATGGATAAATAATCGGACGAGCACTGGTGTACTTACGAACGTATGCTCTGTGGCCGGTGTATTCGAGAGCGAAGGAACGAAGGAACGAACGAGTCCTGCAAGCACGGAGGCGGCGGGGGAGCGGGGAGTTTGTGGGGGGTGGGACTACGTAAAGCCGATGCGGTTCGAACGGACCGGCAGCAGCAGCAGCCGCCGTGAAGCAGGAGTATAGCGGCGCTAAAATCCGTTTAGATGTCTGGAGCTGGCAGATGGGACTGGCCTGAGGTGAGAGAGCGGAGCGAATTGAAATGGCAGGAGGGGGCCGAAAGATGATGTCGCATGGAGGTAATCAGCGTAGAGGGAGAGGGAGAGGGAGGGGGCAGGCGAGGAAAGGAAAAGCGAGGCAGAGAGAGAGAGAGGGGGGGGAAGGGGAGGTGTCAGCCGCGCTTCGAGAGAAAAGAGAGGTCGGGCGAGGCTGGAGGGGCCCTCCGTCCGGCAAACGTCGGCGCTCGGAATATGATAATGCCCATCGCTTTTTACGTCCCGAGGCTCAGGCGAGGGAGCGCGATGATGTGGCGCCGGGGAGCGAGATAAATGTCGGTGTGTGCAGGCTGCGAATAAATACGGTGATCAGAATGCGTCCAGGAAGGTCATGGCTTCGGCCAGAGAAGTGCGGCATGGGCCCGGCCCGGCTCCCACCCTCGTCTTTCGTCTGCTCCGATGCCACAACCCGCCTAATATTACACCCGATCACCACTTCCAACCAATTCCCGCAGATCCAGCTTTTGATTTTATTCAGCCCTTCCCCCCCTCTCTCTCTCTCTCTCTCTCATTCTATTCTCTTTGCTTCGCTTCGACGAGACTGTTCTCGCACATTAATACACAACGATGCGCTGTGGGCCTGCCCGCGCGCGCTCGCCCCCTCGAAAAAGTCGACGATCCATCGCGAATGATGGAAAGGCGACGCAAAAGGTCTGTCGGAAAGTGTCCGGCCCCTCGCCTTTGGCCCCTCGCGGTCGCCCAAATGCTAAGAACCCGCAGGGGGCAGGCGCGCAACGGGACAAGCCCCGAGAGCGAGTCGAGGACGGGCGACGAGGTCCTCGCTAATGATGGATGGGAATATCAGCACAAAGCAGAGCGCCGTCGCCGCCAGATAGCCTTATGACCCCGGACCCCGGTTAAAGGCACCACCCACGACGCTAACCCCAACCCCAACCCCAACCCCAGCCCCTCTGTGGTTCGACCCGCCCATGTTTTGCGGACGAGGGCAGTACAGTAAAGACCAGATGATAAAAAGGAAAAAAAACTACGACATGCATGAATTAGCGCCTGTGGAGGTGGCGCTCGAGTTTTTCGAGTGGGACTGCGATGGCATGGGATACAAGCGTACGCGGTAGATCCGAGAGGGGCGTATTTCTTGAGCTCGCAAAAGAAAGATTGTTTATTGGCGGAGCCTGGCGCAGAGTGACGAGGCTCATCGGATATCTCCCTCCCTCTCCCTCCCTCAGCAGCAGCAGCTGCGATATCGCCCGGTGCCGGGTGGCACGGTCGGTCCGTCCAGAGAGAGAGAGAGAGAGAGTACTTTATCGCAGTGCCTCTGCCGCTTGTCAGCCCCCAACGCCCGCTGTGCCAGGCCCGAGCAGGCGTCCTAAAACCCGTCACTTCGAAGGCAAAGTGTAGCGGCCCCCCCCCCCCCCCCCCCCACCGGGGCGAACGAGAGAAGGAAGCGTGCGCGGGGGGAGGGGAGGGCTTGGACGGACGTTTCGATCCCTCTCTCCGTTTCACGGTTACGCACGACATGTGAATGAAACATGGACTAAGCGAGCGGCAGAGCCTTGAACTAAGTGAGGAGGGGGGCAAGTGGAGCCATAATTCTCGAACACACATGTTGCGTTGAGCCAGCGCTGTGGCTGGAAACGAGTATGCAGCAGCAGCAGCAGAGTGTAACTTGCTCGCTCGCCATCCACTTGACCGCACACAGAAAGAGCACGTTAGGTTAGGCCTTGTTGATTGCGATTCCATTCCAATTGTGGTCGGGGTCCGGCCGTTAAACACGCAATGGGCGTTGGTTTGGGCGTGGGGGAGCGCTTGCTCTCATTCTGTGATGAGCAAGCAAAGAAAGAAAGCACTGGAAATGAGGGAGGCCGGCCGGCCAGCCAGGGGGGCAAGGCCAGGCAAGGGAGAGGGGACGAGTTGCAGGGGGGGATGAGATTTGTAATAGAGGATAGAGGAGGTAGCTATCTCTATCAAATCCACCTTCTCTCTCTCTCTCTCTATCTCTCTCTGTGAGTGTGTCTGTGACTGTCTGTCTGGCTCTCTCTCTATCTCTCTCACCATCCTCAGCCTGCTGCTGCTGCACCTCGTCCTCGTCCACACGTCAGAGGGGGCTCGGGGCCACATCACCTGCAGATAGAGCTCGGCTCTTCGTCTTGTGGTCCCCGCACACGGGTACTTGACCCACTTCCCACTCCAACCGGTCATTCGCGCGAGAGGCGAGTAACCGGAGCTGCCGGTAGCGAAGCCCATCGCTCGCAGCTCCCGCGGCATTGGACGCGGAGGAAGCCGACAGCAGGGGCAGGTGCCATTTTTAAGCGGCTGGGGGTAGCTACTAGTACTGCGCAAAAGTCGGAGATCACCGAAACCGGACACGTGGAAGCACGTGCCTGGACAATGTACGACCACGCACCTACTAGCCCCCCTTACTTTTACGATGGTGATCACGACGGCGCGCGCCGCGCACCCGTCGGCTAAAGTGGCCACCACGTCTCCGTCCCGTCCGACGTCGGACCACCCCGACGGCCCATATGACGACCGCTGCAGGGGGCTCGGGCGGGCCGCGGGTCCCTGCCCCTCCTCGCCCGCCTCTGTCACGTGCCAAGGCTCGACGCTCCTCAGCCCTGCAGCGTAACGGGTTCCGATATCCTTCCCCCTCCTCCGACATTTTCCTTTTTGTCAACACCCTCGGCCCTCCTCCTCTCCTGCTGCCCACTCCTCCCCCTCCTCCTCGTACTGCAGTCGACAACGAATGACGCGGCCACGAGACGTCCGCAGATTCACCATGTTCAGCCCCCGGCTGCTTTGACACGACGGGCCATCCCCCCCCCCCCCCCCCTGTCGTACGGCGTACAGGTCTGCGAGCGGGAACATCCCCAGCCCCCGCGGCTACTCTAACCGCTACCCCCAGCAGGTCGCAACTCGGCTGAAACCCAGCTCGCAGGTCGCCTTCGTTCCTGCCTGGAATCCTAAGTATCTGATTCTATAGTGCACAGGGGGGGGGGTGGAAGAGTGGTACTGCCTGCGAGCCCCCAGCACGAGCAGTGCTGAAGTGATAGCAGTTGGAGGAGTTCCATCGATCGGAGCCGTCAGCCAGCTTGCACCAGCTCCGCTTACACACTCAGAGACAAATGGCTCGTGAAACTAATCCTGCGACCAGTCGATCCTCGCTTGCTCGGGGTGGGGACCGTGGGGTCGGGAGGGGGTGGCGCGTCGCTGTCTACAGTGGAATCCGATTGATATCATGAATGAATGTCTGTCTGTCGACAAGCTCATCGACGACGAAGATACCGTTTCGGCCCTGGGGGCTTCATTGACCCGGAGCGGGGCCACGGTTGCAAACGTTGAAAAGACACGGCGGGTTCGGACAGTCATGGTTTCGGAGCCTTGGGTCGACCGGTTTGCGACTTGCGCAAGTGGACATAAGTGCGCGAGAGTCGACCCAGTCGTACGCAGATGCAACCAAGCGGGGCATAAGTGCGAAACGCCTTCATTGATTGATTGGCTGGTGATTGGACACTTGCAGATGTTTAAGCCTCACGGGCAGTCCCCAGTCCCCCGCTCGCCTGGCCGGGGCTGGGCTTGGCACCACTTGCAGTACACAGAATCATGCCGAACATCGCCGAGGAGAGAACGGGATGCGGTACCACTTGCTCTGTTTTGCGCTACCTGGTACAGTAGCAGGACAGGGCGTGAACTTTGGCATGACATTCAACCGCGCGATCATAAACCCGAGCTCGCCGTAGCATCTGAGGCGCTTTATCTGAACAACACTTGGGGAGGTTTGACTGCAGTCCTGGCTCATCTCACTCAATCTGGCTGCATTAATGCGCTTGGGGACACACACACTCGCGCTCGCCTGCGGTCATGAAACGAGAAACCGGCAGCATCGTCTCGGCCCGTGCATGATGGTGGCATTTCAGCGCAGGGACATTCAGTGTATGTGGATCCATCCTGACGGAGCCTAGGCTCCGTAGAGTCTCATGCAGTTCTCGTTGAACGGGACCTTTGACCAGACCCAGATGGATGCTGAGTAATGAGGCGGGTGGAGAAATATCAGGTCACTGGTAATTGAATATGCATTTCGTCCGCATCAATGGCATTTACATCCATATCTAACCGGCGCAACGGAGCAGGACCGATGCCGACGGAAAGCTGCTGCAACAGCGGCTGCAGTATTTTAAAGAAGGGCTTAATTAACTTGGCTCAGTGGGACGGTGGGGGGAAAGGTGACTGTCTAGCCCCCCCACGCCAAAAGGAGCCTCTCTCATGGAATGAATGGAACAGTGTTTACGCACATTTCTCTGCAGCATGGATGGATGGATGGATGGATGGATGGCGGCCGACGGGGGTGGGCGGGGGCAAGCAGTTTCGGTTGGTTCCGCCGGGGCCATTGCCGTTCGGTTGACGTGGGAGGGGCCCGCCCCGCCCGCGTATTAAATAGGGCCTCCATCAACATCTGCGAAAGGCGGCCGATATTTGCCCCATTCCTTCCAACCTTTTACCGTGAGCCTTTTATTTTGCCAGCTCTGGCAGGCAGAGGCATCCAGGCGGGCAGGGGCAGGGGCAGGGCAGGCGCGCCGCCCGAACCAGCGTCGAGAGAGAAAGACTCCTC